TTGATTTGTTTTTGAAAGGGGGAAAATTCTTCTATTGGTTTACAGTATTTGAAGAAAGAAGTGTTGGGCTAGTAAAGGCCATGTAAATTGATGGCTTTAATGTGTTAGATTTTGCCATGTAAAATGGAGACACTTTTCCAAGGCTACAGTGGCTTCTAAAACTTTTCTGAAGAATGCCCATATTTTGGGAGTGGACAGAACAGCTACCTTGAGATTAATACCCATTTACCTAGAACAGTATTTTTGAATCTGCAAAGCAGGATGTCATGCTGCTACTGTCTTTAAGAAGATTCTGATCTGTTCTATAATTGTAGCTTTGTGCTAACAAAGCACCTTGGGGTGGATGGTCTCCTTTATCCATGAAAGGTGCTTTGTGTATCTACAGAGTAGATACCACACCTGAGGGGCAAAACATTTTAATTTTATGGGTATAGAATGCGCACAAGCCATCTCATACTTGGGAACTGTGGTGGGTTGATGCCCACCAAAGTGCCCACCAAAACTGCTCTGCCACTCCCCTCCTCAGCTGGACAGGGGAGAGACAAAAAAAAATGCAATGAAAGACTCATGGGTCAGGGTAAGGACAGGAGGTCTAATTGCCAACTACTGTCATGGGCAATTAGACTCAACTAGGGGTAATTAATTGATAAAGAAAAATAAAAATTAAATCTTGAAACACCTTCCCCCCACCCTCTCTTCTTCACAGGCTCACTTTCACTAACAATTTTCTCTACCTCCTCCCCCACAGCAGCACAGGGGTCAGGGAATGGGGTTGCATCAGGTGTTATCTCTGCCATTCCTTCCTCTTCAGGGGGAGGACTCCTCACACTCTCCCCTGCTCCAGCATGGGGTCCCTCCCACAGGAGACAGCTCTCCATGAGCTTCTCCAACATGAGTTCTTCCCACAAGCCACAGTTTTTCACAAACTGCTCCAGTGAGTATCCCCCCACGGGGTTGTCAGTCCCACCAGCAAACCTGCTCCAGTGTGGGCTCCTCTCTCCACAGGACTACAGGTCTGCCAGGACCCTGCTCCAGTGTAGGCTCCTACAGGGTCACAGCCTCCTTTGGGGATCCACCTGCTCTGATGTGGGGCTCTTCCATGGGCTGCAGGTGGATCTCTGCTCCCCCATGGACCTCTATGGTCTGCAGGAGAATCTCTTCTCTGATGCCTGGAGCATCTCCCTTCCCTCCTGCACTGACCTTGGTGTCTGCAGGGTTGATTCCCTGATATATTCTCACTCCTCTGGCTGCAGTTGCTCTTCTGTGGTTGGTTTTTTACCCTATTCTTAACTATGTTATCCCAGAGGCTCTACCACCATCACTGATGGGCTCAGCCTTGACCCATGGTTTGCCTGTTTCAGAGCCAGCTGGCATTGGCTTAGCCAGACATGAGGAAGCTTCTGGCAGCTTCTCACAGAAGCCACCCTTGTGTCCCCCTACTACCAAAACCTTACCATGCAAGCAAAATGCAGCAACATGGCTGGAAGAGTGCTAAGACAGCAGAGTAATTCTCAGTTATTCTTCTGTTCCTTGGCAAAATTAAATCATCTAAGTCTTTGTGTGTATTGTACAGAGCATTTTTAAAAGCTTTGGTGACGACTTTGAAGCAATCAGAGTCATGCTGCATTAGTAGTTATTCTTATCATCAAATTTTTCCTAATAACTAACTTACTTTTCCATGGTCCATTTTGGTGTTATTTTTTGTTCTCTGTGTCCATGGAAAAAATATTATTTCCTTTTACTTGTGTTAGCCTTTTATATACTGAAAAGTCATTATCTTGTCCTCTTTTGAACATCTTATGTCTACACTAAATAACCCCAATTCTTCTGCTGTTTCCTAATGAGCTCTATTTTTAAGGCAGCCATTCATTTTTTGTTCTTTTCTGTTTTTCTTGCCTGTGCATTTTTTGAAATGCATTGCCTGTCAACAGGGAACTGCCAGGGCTGAAATAGAATCTATGAGTTCAACTCAGTGTAAAAAAAAATTAAAGTAAAAACATTAAATGATAAGTAACTGTGTTGTCTGATACCAACACATTATTTATAAGCTAGAGCCCAAGGCTTTTACTGTTGTTCTTATGTTAAGTTTGAAACTTGCTAAAGAAGGCACTTTAATGAACGCAGCAGAACTCTCTGGACACATCTGCAGTTTCCCATAAACAGCACGTCACTCACCACTGCCTGCTACATTTCTTTTCCCTCCCTCTCTCCAAAAATGCTCTTGTGGTCACTTGGCTCTGATAAAATCCTATGCAGCTGTCTCCCAGTTCTTACTCCAGCCTGCATAGGTAAACACTGTGCCAAGCACTCAGTGGTTTTTTAATGCAGAAGTAGCAGCGAGATCAGGCTGAGATGACAGTAATAGAAAGTAAAGGCATGCTAAAACCAATACATTCAGTTTTAGATGTGAAGCATATAGAGAGGGAGTGTTGTACCCTTCTGATGCTACATCAGTGGTGCTCAAGAGTCCTCAGCCCTTGAGGTGACAGGAAAGTGCCTTTAATCACAGCCAGTTTGGGCAGGTACTGCTAACAGCATGGTTGTCTGAATTAGCAGTTCCTGCTGGTGCTCTGATGCTGAAATGGTGCTGTGATTGCCTTTTAACTGTCTTGTCCAGATTCATGCACATTTAGATCAGCTCAACCTTTACTTCATACACTCTAGCTAAAAACTCCTTCCTCAGATACCATACATTTCAAACTAATTAAAAGCTGGATAGCAATCTAAATAGCCATTAAGAATATTCTTAAGCAAGGATGTTTCTCAGGATGTTCTTCCATTGAATAGTCTTACCCTAATGTTTCAGTATCTTTTATTAATCAACAATATGATAGTGTATAGTACTTTCAGAGGGTGCAAGATAAGAAAGCTGAAGATAAACAAATTCATATTACAAATGTCTTTCCAAACTATTTGCAATTTCACTGGAAGTCATCATTCTGTTCTTCATTAGGTATTGAAGCTTGCCTGCGCTGTAGTGGGAGTACCCCCAGATGACTCCCAGTAGATAGTTCTGTCTTGCCTTGACCCATCTGCTACTTAAAATTCGAAAAGTTCACCATGAATTTTTGATGCTTATTTATAGATTCAAATGAGGTAGTTCTTATGCAACTGGGCCAAGACCGAGGTTTTAGTTCTCTTAAGGGTTTCTTTTTTTCCCAGTTACCAGAGATTCCACCTGTACTATACCTCTTCCTTATACTATGCCTTCCTGTTCTGAATCGGTCCTTTATTCGAGGTCAAAGTGCTATATGAATTTTACTCCTAAATTTCTGTGTATTTTCTCAAAGACTGTCTTTTGTCGGTTTCTTGGCTAAAAATCATTCAAGCTGCATTGCCTCTGTTGCTTCATAGTTATACCAAATTGTATTCTCAGGTATATCCTTTTTGAGTTTAGACATATCCCATCTTACAGTTCATATGGAGAACCTCTCTAAAAGTTCTTTATCCTGGCTCATTGCTTTCAGATTCACCTATATCTCTCCATACTCCACTGCATCAAATACAATTAGATGTCATCTTTAATATTTTCTTCTGGTTTATTTCATGTCTCACTAGTCATTTCCTCAAACATAAAGATATTGATTTTTTCCCACCTTCATATGAAAAATAAGGATATTCTTGATTACTTATTTTTCAGCTTTCTTCTCTAGTGAGCATCTCTTCAGTTTCTTCCCATAGACCTTACAAATCAGCTGCTGCAGTCCTTCCTAAAGATTTTATTCATTTTGATTACAGATTACTGGTCAGGTCATTAACAATAGAATTGTAGAATATCTCAAGTTAGAAGGACCTTTAAGGACTGGGGAATCCAACCCCCTGCTTCTCTCAGGACTAGCTAAAACTGAACCATGTGACTAAGAGCATCTCCACAATTTCCTTGAGCTCTGGCAGGCTTAGTGCTGTGACCAGTCTCTTAGTGAAGAACATTTTCCCTACCTGAAACTGCCCTTATGCATCTTCATTAGACTTCTTCATGTCCTATTGCTGGTCATCAAATAGATGATGTTTCTATGCTATGTCTGTGTTGCATGTTATTCTGGGATGTGGTAGCTTTTTTTCTAACTGTTTTGTGTGGTGCATCAAATTGGCAAATAATGTTATCTTCAGGTTAAGGAGATACTTGTCCAGAAATGTAGTGAATACTGAGAGGGCGTTGATTAAAATGTGTGCTAGCAACTAACTGGTAAAAGCAGATTCATACTATGGAGTATGAATTATTATATTACGTATATCTAGATTGTATTATGTATATCTAGGTACCAAATATGCCTTTGGAAAACATGCTTGCAGGTAGACTTAGAAGAATTCCCCCAATTGCTTGTCTAATAAGTGCTGGGCTCTGAGTAAGGCTATTACAGATTTATGTTCTAAAAGTAAGGAGAAATAACAGTAAAAATTACTGAGGTTTTGTCTTGTCAATAATTTCTTTGGGAGTTCAGACTAGAGAGGGAAGATTAGCCCTGAAATTATTTTTCATATGCAGTATCGATGAAGGAAAAACTAGAGGAAACGGCATATCTGGTTTTGCATAGACAATGTTCATAAAAGAATAGGAACTATGTCTGAAGTAAACTCATTAAAAAGAAGTTGGAAGTTTGTAAAAGCTAAAATACTTGGGTAGGAGAGTTGTGTCTTGGTTTTTAACTGAAAAATACAAGGTATGATTTAAAGACTGTTTTAAAAAGCACTTGAATTTCCTAACAGCGGTGGAGGGAGGTGGGAGGAGACCTGATATTCTTCTGTAATAGGACTCTAAGAACTGTTGCTGGAGAGATTGGAAGGAAAGAAATCAAAATGACAAGTTTGCTTTTCATGTTCAAATCTAAACGAAAGTTATAAAGTGAACAAGTGGCAAAAAATTATAAGTTAATATATTTTTTACAACGTAAAGCTTTTTTAATACAAAGAGGTAGGTGGGCCAAGGAAATTTCAGTCTTTACAGTTCTGGGAGATAAATCAGACTTTGTAACTATTTGCAATTGATCCTACTATCTTAGGTTTTCAAGATCAAAGCAGTGCAACTGGCAGGAAAACTTCTTCCAGCCTTCAACACACCTACGGGTATACCATGGGCGATGGTGAATCTGAAAAGGTAATGAGTTTTCTTTTGTGAAATGTCTTCCTCCCCTTCCCTCCAACTTAAAATTAATAATGGCATACAGCAGTTTTTCTTAGTAGTGGAACTGTAGAAAATGCAGACAAATTGTCATTCTTGGCACATTAGAATGTTTTTGATAGAGTTCAGCACGTTCTAACTCATAACAGCAATACATTTTGATCCTGGGTTTTTTTTGTATGTAGATATACATAATATAATCTAGATATATGTAATATAATAAACATTCAATTTGCCATTGGACCACACAGTGTATTATTCTGTGTGTTGCTCTAGAGCTTAATAATTGTTTCTTTACTCATTACAAAATCTGTTAAAAATCAAAGTTGTTTGCAGGACATGATTGAACTTACTGGGTTTTCTGTACTGTTTGAGGTGTATATTACCTTTAGAAGATTCCCAGCATTTGCGAAGATGATGGGACTCTGAAGTTACTATTTCATTTTGCATTTTAGCTTGGGGTCTGACGTGCTAAAGTGAACTGTGGTCTGTGCAGATGGAGAGGCTCCTTTAGATGACTGCTCAGATCAGACTGAACTTAGATGGTCTGCATTGCCTCATGGAAGACAACTGCCTTGCCTAATTTATGTTGTATTGCTTGCTCAGTGCTAGGATTTCCCTCAGATTTTGAGAGTGTTTTTGATGCAAGGCATTCTTTAAATTTTCACTATGTCCTTAAACAGTAGCTGAATTGGGATGTATATCTAGATTGTGTGTACACTAACTCATAACTGAAATAATTTATGAGAGGAAGTAGAAGTAATCTTCAGAAATACATAGTTAATTACAGAAATTAAAAGACCCAGTTCTGAAAGGTGGTGAAAACTCCCAGATTAGATTAAACCAGAGGTAATTTAGGAGTTAGGATTAGCAAGATGGTATCATTTGAGTGCACAAAATAGATATGTCACGCTTTCTGCTGATTCTTTAGGTGAGCCTGAGGAACTCATATGTTGTGCCAACAATAAACATCCTGTATTCCTGTGTAGACACAAGATAGGGAAGCACATCTCACACAAGTGAAGGGAACACAGCAGATCAACAGGACAAGGCAGCAAATGCTGCCACCTTCAAAACTTGTCTTACCTTGATTCTTGTTCTTAAGAACATGCAGTGAATAAGAAACAACTGTGATTGAGCCCAGTGTTAAGTCATCATATTTGTGTGACTTCATGGTATTATATTATTTAATAATAGGACTTTTTGTCGATGAGGTTATGGTATCTGTATTCCAAAAAGATCCAACCAGTGTACCAATTGACCAATCAAATCACAACTCCTGTAAACTTAAGTGTGGGTTAAAATATTGTTGTTGCTTGCGTAATTGGCTATGGTAGTTGTGCTGTGCACCATAATTCTGAATTTTGTGTTGTTTTCTTCCTTTCTTTATGCTTATTTGTTGGAATTCAGTGGTGTTGGTCGAAACTGGGGCTGGGCTTCTGCTGGCAGCAGCATCCTTGCTGAATTTGGTACTCTGCACATGGAATTTGTCCACCTTAGTTATTTGACAGGAGACCCTGTATATTACAACAAGGTGAGTCTCAAAAATCAATATTCTTTTATCATACTTCTTATCATAAATTTAATTAAAGGAGAAGTACTTTCTGTATTGAATTCTACTTCCATTCTTGGTAGCAGGTAATATTTTCATGCTTGTATTTCTGTTACCAAATAGTTGTATTTTTCAACTAGAAATATATAATAACACAGGTTTTCTTACTTGTTTCAGAATACATTTAAGAATCATTATTTTTAAGCATGTTTATGTGAGCAGTCCTTTAAAACCAAAAATGTACAAATCTGAAGAAAGCCCTCAAGAAAGCTTGCGGTTCAGATTAATAAAATTTGCTACTAAAAATGAAAGAAAAATAAAAAAGTTTAGATTTAACTTTGTGCAGAGGGCAGACAAACGTTGTTAGTGGTGAACCTGACTCTTGATTTAATTTAGGTCATGCACATTCGGAAGTTACTTCAAAAAATGGATCGTCCTAATGGACTTTATCCAAATTATTTGAATCCAAGAACAGGCCGGTGGGGTCAGCGTAAGTATTCTTATTTTATTAATTCCTAATTAGAAGTCTACTTCTTATCTTGTTGTTGAGTTGGAGATCAGAAAATTTATTCTGTAGGGCACAAACAGCATTGCTTGATAACATAAAATGCGGAAGGATTGCTTGAACTTGAAATCTCCTGAAATGAATATTTTCCTGTCTCTGTCTGAAGTCACAGAGCTCACTTTTTAGGGTACTTTCTGAAAACAGCTTGCTGCTTAATCTGATGCCTGTCCTTATGTTTATCAGTCAATAAAATCTTCAGTAATAAAGAATAAGGCTGAAAGTATTTCCTCATTTAGATTCTGTTCCTGGTTTTGTTCTGCAAACCATCTGGTAAGTGGATTATTGTAAGGTGACGTGCATTAATGCGTGTTTGTGGTGGTTAAATTGTGTTAGGCACTGACATCTACAAACATAATTCATCTCCTTAGTGGCCTGTGAAATGGCATGATGAACCTCCTTATAGATTAAAAAAAAAAAAAAAAGCTTTGGAATGAAAAGAAAAAGCAGGCATTATTGCTGACAAGTTAAGAGGAGAGATAAAACATCAAGAGAGAGACACAAACATGATTCCTTTCTTGTAGTGGCTCTTTCAAAAAAAGTTGAATGGTTTTGTGCTTTGGTAGTGGCAGTGATAAAAGAGAATTTTTTTCTTCAAGGTTTTATTTCTTTATCTTTTATAAATGCAAGTCTATTTAGGAAGAACAGGCAAGATGATCTATTTCTGTCCTGTTTGACATCATTGATAGAGTTTTGGGGATTTCAGTGGTTGGCTGTAAATATCCTGCAGAACATGTTCTGGCTTGCAAACTGAGAATCTGCTTCTGACTTTGAATCTGGTATGTGAGGGAGATGAATACAGCTGTCATTGCAGTCATTGTGAAATACTAGTCTATTCCCATCTTAAAAGCCAAAATTCTCTCCAAAGCATCTTATATCTTTGAGTGGATCATGACACCAGCTGAGATGGGCAAATGGTTTGATGGGACAAATTTTTCTGATAAATTTAAGTTTAACAACATATTCATAAATAAGAAAATATGCAAATACAAATACTCAGGCATTATTTATTCAAAAGACAGTTTTGTATTTTTGCTTTGAAACAATTTTTTGTATTTTTTTTTTTATTCCTAACTATCTGCTTGTGCTAGTTTTATCAAAAGCAGTCTAATGTGATGTATCACCAGGATTCTTTAGAGGCTGTTTCATAGACTCTTGGAATGGCTTGGGTTGGGAGGGGCAAGTAAAGATCATCTAGTTCCAACCTCCCTGCTGTGGGCAGGGGCACCTTCTGCTGGATCATGTTGCTCAAAGCCTCTAACCTGGCCTTGGACATTTTCAGGGATTGGGCATACTCAACTTCTCTGGGCAGCTCACCCCCACAGTAAAGACTTTCTTTCTGATATCCAATTTAAACCTACTCTCTTTCACTTTGAATCCATCTCTCCTTGTCCTGTCACTACATGCCCTTGTAAAAAGTCCCTGTCCAGCTTTCTTGTAATTACAATGCACAGAATTAGTATCTCTTGGGAATTAGATGCTCCTCATCACTAAAAATAAACATACAGTGGAACTTTGCAGAGGTTAGATGGAGCTCAAACATACTGTTAAATGGGTTTTGCAAGATAATACATTTGGGACTCTAGGAGTACAAACTGAGACTTGCGTTCTGAGGATAAAAAGAAATACAAATTCTTAGAGCCTTTAATTTTTCTATGCTGATCATAAGTGAAAAATTTATTTACTGGAATTTAGTGATTGGGGTTTGGGGTTTTTTTTTTTGAGCAAATAAGGTTCCAAGTGCATATTCAGATATTCTTGTACTATTTCTAGGATTTTTACAGTGCAGCAATATCATGGCTTAGGATAGTAGTCTCCATTTTAGTAGTTCTGCTAAAACCATATCTGCTGCTCACTTGCCTTCTGCCTGCCTCCTGCACAACAGATCACTGGTTGAGATAAGAACAATTTGCTGGAAACAGCAGTGAGATAAGAAAATTAACAATAACTGCGAGAATATTAATAACAAAACGTATAAGACAAAGAAATGGTTTACACAGAAGAGGAGACCTGTTCTTTCCAGCCAGTTTCTTCTCCCTGACCAGAAATTATGCCCTTTTCCTGACAGGGGTCATTTTCCCTGCTTCTGGCAATGACCTGAGATGGTATTGAGCAACATTAGAGTCTGGCCATGCCCCCTCCCAGCTGCTCTAAAAAATTAATGCTGTCCAAGCTGAAACTAGGACAAACAGCATTTGGAAACCTAATACTCATATTATGGATAGCATAATTCTCTATTTCCTTTGACAAACTTGGATGGAATTATGAGAAAATGTCTTGGCTGTATCCCTGGTAGATCAATCTTAGGTGTATCTACTTGAAAAAATTTAAGAAGTTACAGTGAAGGAGCACATGGTCTGAAACACACTGGACAGATGGGATGGAGTAGCAGGGGCTTAGGCAGGAATTTTTCTCCCTTACAGAGGTTGTGTTCTGCTATCCATGAGTGAGGTGAGTAGGGATGATGCCTTACCACAACATCCCAATTCACTAGAGGACTCATGTCTAAGCCCCCTACACTGTTACTGGCTTGAGTCCCATGGTTGGTATTACAGGCAGGCAAGGCTTTTATGTTCCCCTCAGAAGGTAATTTCAAAGAGTATTGTATTTGGCTTGTTATATACCTTTGTACTGGAAAGACTGAGACAATGGAAAGAGTATCAAAGATAGCTTTTCTTTTTCCAGCTTCTGGGAAAGCTGCCCTTTTCATCTTTGCTGTGACCTTTAGTTTGATGCATCTTATCTTGTACAAAGTACTTTCTGCAGATAAGTTTCTGAGAATTATTTCGGAACACATTATTTGCCTAGATACAAGTAACTTCACTCTGACCTTTCTAGTGTTGCTTTCCTTTTTTATTTTTTCCCTTTCTTTCTTCCTTTCAACAATTTTTTCTCTGCTCAGACTTTCTTGGTTCAATTCTAGTTAGCTTTTTTGTTAATCTGTGCAGTATTCCAACTAAGTCACAAGGGGTGTGAAATAGATAAAATAAATCAGCATAAATACATACCTAAAGACTCTGTTGAAGAACTATGGGACATAGAGGCAATATAACATATTTCTAGTGGTGGGTTTATTTTCTATTTCTGTACCCTTTATTCTAGTGGTGAGTACCTTTATTCAAAGTAATAATAACATCAGTGGTGGTGGGAACTTAGCAGTCAGACCAATTAATGCTATTACTACCAGTTGATTCGTAGTATTAGACAAAATATATAGTGGAAGAATTAATTTAGGTCAAATTTTCTCAGCAGTTATATTTTTTCTTTGCCTTTTAATTTATTTTTTAAAGAAAAAAATGACACTATTTGAATAGAAGAAAAATTTTTTCCCTCTAAAAGTATTGCTGTTTTGTTTAATTTTGTTCCAACAAGCTGATGGGTAAACTTGAATATTTGAAGGAAATTCCTGTTGCAAGATTGTGGGACAAAAGGGAAGCATCATTTTCTGTGGCTTTGGTGTGGCCCCATAGGGCTGTAAACTGGATCTATCTGTACTTGCAAACAAAACCTTGTGGAAAGTTCTTGGTACCTTCTACCTTAATACTTGTTAGAGTATTTTGATTCTTTTTCAGAGCTGTTTGCACTAGAAGCCTAGGCACACCCCAATTTTGTAGGGTTTAACCAAAGGTACATTGGCCCCCCAGTCCTCTTTGCATATCCAGTGTTCATGAATGGTGATGAGCTAGCTTTTGTAAAGGTCTTTCAGGCCTTTTGGGCATCAGCAGTTGTTACAGGGTTTTTCTGTGCCTCAGAATATTTCTGTCTTAGCCTCCGTAGATCTTAGGCCATGTTGCTGTGTCTGGTTTGCCTCGTTTAAACGTTTGCTCAAAATGTGGTCTGTGCTCTTCTTGGGTTAGGAGAAGGGGAGTGGTGTGTGTGATATGCTGTAATTTTGTCAACATCCTTCTGATGTGAGGATGCAGGGTCCAGTGAGTCATTTCTGCTAGGGTTGGATTTATCAGAGTGCAGGCCTTTTGATCTCAGTATAAGTAGCATGTTCAGCGGTTTCACTGCTGGGAATAACGTCCTGGGGACAGTGCCCTGAGATGTGCAGACCATCTTTTCCACTTGTTCGTCTGCTGGAGCTTAAAAGACAAGTGCTTTCATTCAAACCAGTCAATGCTTCTCTTACAAATGCCTGAACAGCTATAACCAGTGAAGTAACCTACCAGTCAATTAGTAATAATCATTTCATCAAGAACGATGTGACCATTGCTTCCAGGTTCTTAACAAGTTATAGAGATGAGTCAAATCATTATGTCAGTGTGGCATTAATCTATAGGCACGTCTTTGAAGTGATTACAATTTAATTAATATAAATGTTCATTTGCATTTAATGCACTTGACATAGCCCTTGAAGAAGGGTGACAGATTACTTCTTTCTTTTACTGCCTGCCTCAGTGAAGCAGCAGCAGCCAGGGTCTGAAGCCACAGCAGGCAGGACTGAGCAGGGACTACTGCTTCATCCCATAATTTCTTTCCACTTGAATGCTGTAAACCCCAATTCTAAGAACTGCTGGGTGAATGGTTTACTGGTCATTGCTAAATCCCCATCCTTACCAATGCAAATGCTTTGTAATACAACTGGACACTTAATGCTGTGTAGCAGCAAGGGGGTTCATTATACCCAGGAGGAGGAAAATGATAGCTAAATATTTGGGGTTAAGCTTATAATGGGCAGGCATTATTGGAGCATGGGGGTCATGACAGACATCTTTTGAATGGCTTCAGCTCAGCTCACTGAATGTCAGCTCACTGGGGCATTTGCTAGAAGGCAGAGCTATAATGCCTACAGGAATGTTGACAGATTCCATTTTTACGTATGGGCTAAGGTGATGGTCCAGTAGGAACAAGTTATTTACAATTCTTCTGTTTTGGGGTTTCAGTTTCTGTAAGACTGAAAGGAAAATAGCTGTCAGGAAGGATTT